TGCTGTCGGAAAATGAAAACTTGGCGTTGTGGGATTTCGGAGCGTGCCGATATGTGCCGATCGTGCTCTAGCGACCTCAGCCAGGCCTGGTGAACATGTTTTTCTTGAGGGCGCAGGAGTTCAGAGTCTACCCTGAAGACAAGCAAGACAAGCAATACAAGCCTCCCAACCTCTCAACATCTCTCAACATCTCTCAAAGCCGAGGTCCTCTGAGGCTCCCTGCGACTGGCCATCCTCCCCGAAGACCGCTGAGTTGCAGCGCCGGCGGAGGAAGCTCAAGCTGCGCGCTGAAGGGTTTCGGATGGTCTCGGGAGTTGTTCTGGATTATATTAGGGTCCCTTTAAATTCTTTTCAGCGAGTTGCAAAACCATCATGCCCCCACAGTAATGAGAGGATACGGGAGGGACATCTTGGAATCATAGGTGGTGCGGAGCGAAGCCCGGCAAAGTTTTGCTGAACTACTCGTCACTTGCCTCATGGGATCTACCTACAAGCGGCCAGGCCTAGCGCGTATAAGTTCGCAGGTACCCCGAGTAGTCAGGAATTGTCAAGGATTTCAAGAACCCACCCACCCCCCATCCCCCCCGCACCCCCCCCCTTGCCCTGCGCCCAACGAAACGCCCAAAGTTCAACACATGTGAACACGACATTAGTCGCATTCCACATCCGACCTCAGTGAAGGCTCGCTGACAATGCTGTTGTCCTCGGCACTGCGTGAGCACGGAGCGCTCTAACACCAAGTGCGCAGGGTTTTGGGGCTTGGGGCTTACGATGGTTTATGCTTGTCAGGTCTGGACCATCAGGGTTGATGCTTCGAGGTCTTATTGAAGCACCCTGGCTATCACACTCAAGCGTGTCTGGTTCGCAGCCTCGACTTCCAAACATGTTTCTACGACAGCCTAAACCCCAAGCATGTGTCTTGTCAACACGCGTTGCACAGGGTGTACCTTGGAAAATCTCCAGTGTAGCATGGAACTGGTCAAAAAACGAACTCCGCCATAAGAAAGAACGTAAACAAGCGGTAACCGGAGCATGGCTGACACTGTCATGTAATCCAAGTTGGGCCACATGCTCTCGTACGCAAACAAGGTCCTTCTACAGAAGGTAATTGGGGCTCTGTTTCCAAGAGAGCCTGCTCCTCGGATCTTCTAGATATCGCTGAAGAGAACTTTCAGCAGGCGAAGGCATCTGGTGCTCCGTGACAGGCTTTGCAAAGGCCAAGCCTTACTTGTCACCAGGGCTCTGCCCCAAAAGCCCACGTCCGAAAGCTCTAAATCCCTGAACGTCCCCCCCAACCCTTCGCACGTTTTCTGGGCCACCCGACCCGGCTCCGGCCCGCAAGCGCCGAGTCCGGGCGCCGCGCATGCGCCGAGTCCGGACGTGAGGTGTGGCCCTGGGCCTGAGAAGGCACAGCAACTCCCAGGATCCTAAACTTGCATATGGGCCAGAATTGCTTGCGTTGCTTCAACTCGCGGCACTGCTTCCTGTGAGTAAGTTCACAGCAAGATCCGCTTGTTGGCTTCAACCGGCAACTAAGTAACTCTGCCTGTGGTTTGACGGCTGGGCTCTAATCCAACAGATTGACGCCGCCAAAGTAAGGGTTCATGTGATATAAATAAGTTAAACTTGAAAGACCCACATTTCATCATTCCTACAACGAAAGACTTGACGCAGTTCCTCATCATTCAGATAAAAAAAGACGCTGGTGGAAAACCATTAATGCAAAAGGTAAACCATCCTCAAATATCAATGTTATCAAACTGACTACCACATTGGTTGTTTCTAAATAATGCCGCTTCTAAATACTGTGGCCCTTCTATCAATAGTTTGCTCAAGGGTGGTGTGTTGGGGTCGCCTTGTTCTTCAATCATGCCTATCAGTTCATCGTAGGTTGGTCTAAGTTTTGAATCAGATCTTTATGTTTTTCTCGTATAGTACAGTATATGCTAGGTTTAAAGTATATTTCGGCCTAAATAAGTCTTTTCGTTTCTTTTGTATTTCCTCCTTTTGTCCTTACAGGCATCACTGGCCCTTCCAACTGACGATTAACTTCACCTAGTTGTCCCTGATACGTTGCTTTCTTCTGACGTTGTAGCCAATTGCTGCATCGTCTGACAGTGTTGCCTCTGTACTCTGGATCTTTCATCACCATGTTCATGCCTTGCATGTTCTTCCTGCGAGAAGCAACACCGAATGTATCGTCCATATCATAATAACGCTAGACATGGGTTTTCGTGTGCAATTCGCTTTGCCTTTAGAAGACTCATTATTCATATTAATGTAGATATAACAGAAAATGCTAGCAAGAACGAAAACATACGGGTTCTGAACCGATTTGTCTTTGCTTGCTTTTCTTGTTGTCTTAAGCGATTCATGTCATTACATGACTGATGTAGAAATTCTGAAGCCGCTGGTTGTCTCACGACCTTTTTCGTTCTTACGGGTCGTTCGTGTTCCACTTGGTTTCCAGCAACTGGAACATTTGGAACGGCAAATGTTTCACTTCGCATTTTCTTCCTCATCTCTTCTTCTACCAGTATATCTTTTCTTAGTTTTTGTTCTACCTTGGATCCATGGCTGCCTTCTGCTGATTCACTGGAACTGTTTCGGTTGGCTGAGCCGTACAATAATTGGGCGGGTCTGTTTAACACTTGTTGGTAGCATCTTCATACTAAAAGTGCAACATCCAACCAACTCAACTACATTAATACTTCCGGGTAGTTTTTGCAGGCTTGCTTTCGTTTTTCGGTTTTACTTCTTCAGGTGGAGCTTTCATAACTTCTTCAGTTGCTTCAATCGGGGGTTGCTCATACTTAACACATGTTGACCGCTACAAGGGAGTAGGGGTAAACAAGAGAGGTGACAAAATACAAACAATTAGACATGACGAAAACAAATCAGATGAAGGAGGCGACGAGGGCAGAGAACAAGTAGGAGACAGGGATGAGAAAATATGAATGAAGCAGACAAGACAACACACCAACACCCAGACCCTTGAAACCCCCTTTTTATCATTTCTCTCCCTTTCCCCCACCCCCTCCACCAAGGCAAGTGCCGACATCTGCCGCGATCCTCCAGAAGCTGGCCGGGAGCGCGCCGAAGCCTCAGAGCACTACGCGACTGCTTGGATCGCTTGGGGTTCTGAGGACAAGCACCTCGGGCGGGCGACTCCTGAACGGAGGGGGGGGGGCGGGGTCCAGAGAGGAAGGCATGGATGGAATACTTCTGCGCTCTCTCTCTCTCTCTCTCTCTCTCCCTCCAAGCTGGCAAGGAGACTGTTGGCGATTCCTGGAGTACAGAAGGTAGCATAGGCTACATAGGGCAGCTTTCGGTGTGGCCCAAAAGCATTGAGCGAACTCACGGCCCCTGCAGCCTTTAGACCTTCCAGGTGCCGGGCCGACGACTCTTCCTTGACTCCGTCTATGGCCTTTTTGGCGCACGGCATGCTCAGAGTTGTGGTGTGAGGTTGGGATGATACGAAGGGTTGCTTTCAACACCCCGCCTCCTCCGCCTTCTGCTCCGCCACATTCTCCTCGTTCTCGCGGGTCGGCGAGGGGCACAGAACCTGCCCCGGAAAGGAATGGCAGACGTTGAACAACCCAAAGCCGCCAAAGCGATCAAGGGAGACACAGTGTCTGAGCGCTTGCAGCTAGGTGGTGAAGCCTGAAGATCGCCGATGTTCATCTCTCCACTGCACTCCTCTCTCACCCGGCCACAGAAAACCCCAACAAAACCTCGTCCAAAGCCCTGCAACTCCACGTCGTGTGCCTTGGCCCGTGACGTCTGCCGCGACAGAGCCTCGCAGCAAGAATTCGGGTGTGCAGCCCCAAAATTTTGGCAGGTGGGGCAACTGCAACCTCTGGACATCGTGGCAGACATGCGCTCGTTGTTCTAGGTATGGCCGTTCTAAACATGAGGGTGAGAGTCACTTTCCTGGACAACTTAACAATCACCAAGAAGACCACTTCTCGTGAAGGGTGCACAATTGAAGCCTCGGCTTCCCTTCTACTTTTAGAGTTGTGAAAACCTGGCTGCATACCCGATGCTTGCAAACGCGGATGCGAGGACCGACCTTTGCGAAGTGCTTCCGGGTGTACCAGGATCGCGCAGAAGGGTAGTCGAAGGTCCCGTCGTCATTGACTCGCAGGAGCGATGAGGCTCAGGGCTCAGGAGTGATAGATGTTGCAATTCAGATCCAAGAGTGTTCCAAAAGCCCAGATCAGCCCCTTTCACCCTTTCAGATCCAGCAAGTGCAAAAGAGCCAAGCTGGGCGTGGCCTTGAAGACCTGGACACCCCAAGGACATCAAGGACATCAAGGAGTTCCCTCAAAGGCCCCGAAGTATAACGTGCAAACGACTTGCCCGCCTTCCAGCTGCGGCGACTGCAAGTCCCGTCTCTTGCCTTCAAGCAAATGGGGGAATCGTGAGGGCTTCTGCGGGGAATGCGTCTGAAAACGGGGCTTGCAGGCAAATTTCATACTTCGTCGTACTGACTTTTCCAGGTAGTTCGCCTTCAGAAACTGCACCAGGATAAGGATTGTCTGCTCCCAGTTGGTGACTCCTTCATAGACTTGTGGGTTTGGGAGCTTGGCTGCTGGGTCTCTGACCCTCGATCCGGAACCTCTACAACCCATTCTTATCTGTGAATTGGGGATGCTGGGGACCCGCAGCGACGAGGTAGTTTCAAGAAATGCCGTTTCTTGGGGGGGGGGGTGGGGGATTGGATTTGGGGCTCCTTCCTGGCACATCTGCCAGTTGGGGTCTAACGGTTTCTGTGCTTCTTGGGTCGACGGAGCTAAGATGAGCTAAGCCTCTGAGGTCTGAAGTCCTCTGGAGTCCTTTGGAGTCCTCTGGAGTCCTTTGGAGTCCCGCAAATCGGCCAAAGTCTGAGCCCTACACGCCCCGCTCGGAAACGAACTCCGCACCTGTGCCGAGGAATCTCTGAAAAACTCGTTGCACAAGAAGGCTTTTTGATGTTTCGCAGTCATAACAAACTTAACTCACCACGGAGAAGGTGAATAAGGTGGATAAGGTGGAGGGGGGAACTCATCCCAGCCCTCCACTCTGAAGTGGACAAGCTTCACAGCCTGGAACCTTGCAAGTCCCTGTTGGTCGCCTACGCTCACGCTTGGCTGCAAAGCGCACGGCCGCGGGGGTAGGTACCTCGGGAGTTCGGCTTTGGAGGTGGGGCTTCAAGAGTTAGGTGTATGTGTGTGTGTGGGAAGAAGCGACAAGTGAACGCCGAAGCTCCAAATCACCCCCACGCCACACAAGTAAACTCGGCCCTCTGAAGCCGATAAAACAGCGCACGTCCCCACTGATTTCTGAGCGCAGCCGCCGGCGAGGGTTCCCGATACAGGCGGGTGGCACGCGGAAGGGCCTGCAGCACCGGCTCCGGATGGGTTTTGGGGTTTTGGGTTTGCGGGTTTGGCTTCCAACCCGAGAAGAGGATGTTTGTTGCACGAAGTGCCCCCAGGCAAAGTGCTGAACAGCAGCGTTCCCCCATTCTGACAAAGCCAGCCAGCCGCGTTCGCTGGGAAGGAAGCCCACCCCCGAACCTAGAGCGACAAGAGCCCCTACACACAGAATCCGCTGCAGCACCAAGACTCATATTGCTCAGGAAAGAATTCGAAGAGGGCTGCGCTCAACACTCATGCTCCCAACCGCGACCAATTATGTGGCCCTGGCTTCGGCGTTGTGCAGTCTCTTCGGCCTGAAAGAACGGGCAGGATCAGCAGAATCCAGAAACCCCGGTTTGGGTAGTTTCATATAGTCTATATAGTGATATAGTGGGCCCTCAGGCCAAAGTCAAAGCCGCAAAAGCTTGATGCCTGAAGATTCAAATGTCAACAAGCCCCCCCCACCCCCCTCGCTGCAAAGCCCGAAGCCTCCCAAACCCCCAACAGGCTTGCCCAAGGCGTGCGCCACTGCACAAGCCGCGGCGGCCTGTGCCAGACGTCGGGTTCCCAAGGGGCTTTCTTGTTGGGCTGTCCTCGTGCTGTTAGCTCCCATCCCAGCTCGGTTGCACTGCGAAATTCTGCACAGAGGACCATCAAATCCCGAGACCTTGGCTCGTGACCTGAAGCTCGTGACGTATCTAATGCTCCTGCGAAGGACTGGCCAACCGTGACCTGAAGGAAGGACAGCTCGTGCCTCATCTCCCGCCCTCGCACTGCCCGGTCAGGCGACTCAGGCGACTCAGACCCAGCTCGCAAGGCCTGGAAATGAGGTCTAAGGCTGCTAAGGCTGAGGAAAGTTTAGGGCATGGTTAGGTTTAAGGCAACCTTGGGCTTGAGGCCGGCCGGCACTCAGAGCCTTGATGCTTTCTGCACACTGCGCAAGCACGATCTCCGCACACCGTAGTAAACTGCAGCACCTAAGCTGTGTTCACGATGTCTCCCTAGAAAAATACAAAATACAAACCATTCAGCTGCTACCTTCTGCTTGCGTCGGGCGATGAAAAACTCTACCCACAAAGCGCTGCTCCCAAGCCACCCGATGGCCGAGACCCATATCGGCCTCAGCCATCATTCGCTTGGTCTCCAACCTGCCAGGCTTATCGCCAGGGGGTTTGATGGCATTGGATGTATACTTCAGGCTCTAAACAAATGCGCTGCTTCCCCACAAACTCCTTCAACAGTTCCGGGAAACTACTCCGACAGATCGCTGCAAGATCACTGCCAGCGCAAGCTTTTTAAGCTCCAAGTCTCCGATGCCCAAACTTTGAATTCTCAACCTCGGCCTCTAAGAAGAATGGCATGCTTCTGCGCAAGTTAGAGATGCGAAAAATCTAAAAAACAACATTCGCCTTGGCTTCGTGGTCAGCCTCTTTTCCATGGACCCTCAAGAAACTCAGCCCTGAAGCCCTGAAACGGTCGAAACCGAATTCCGGGTGCCTCTGCACTTGCGGTAACTCCTCACTGGACTCCGAGCCGGACGAATCCGAAGAGCCTTCGGAAACGTAGCCTGGGCCCCCAAACATGCTGAAAGTTTGGGTCTTAGCTTGGGTTTAACGTGTCCGAGGCGTCGGGCCCTCTGATGCATCCCAGGCTGCGTCGCGTGAAAACTACTCACGTGCAGAGCAGAAACTCCGCTCGCAGCTGGCTCCCAGGTGCCCATGACTCATGCAAACCGCTAGCCTCCCAATTCTGCATGAGATCCAGGCGGACCATGGTCGGCTGAGTCGCTAGAAAGCGCTCGTGTGCCCCCTGCGCAAATGCTCCACAAAAGACATGGGTAACTTAAGCCGCACGTCTCCAAAATTTGCTTAGGGGCTTACAGCTCTCAACACACAGGCCAAAAGCCTCGGCCTGAACATATCTCTCTGATGTCATTGAGAACTCCCCAAACACGTCTCCGGTTTTCCGCCGCCCCTTCTCCTCCCATCTGTTCACAATGGCAGCTCTTCTGGGTTTGCGAATATTCAAAGCTTGGGCTTAAGGGCTCTAAGGGGGCTTTAAGGGGCTCAATCGGGCTCTTGCACCTAAACCTCCTGCACCTCGAAGACCCGAACCCTCGAGCTGCCATTCCAGGATTCAAAGGTGACTTGAAGCGCTAAGGGAGCCCTTCCGATTGCAAAGGGAGCTGGGCATGTCTCAGACACTCTGATCAACGACATTAGTGGCTTGTCATCGTCCTTCCGAGCGCCCTGCTACTGAGACATGCCCAGATCGTTTCAGCGTACAGTAAATAGCAGGACAATCAAAGGGTGATGCCAACAAGTGAGCCTCTGACAAGCACTGGACTCAAATCTCCAGCCCTCTCCAGCCCATGGTGAGCTGGCAAAGGTCTTCAAAGCATCGGAGCGAAGCGTCCGCAAGGCAAGGGCTCAGGGGCAAAATCCTGAACCTCTGCCGAGCGTACAGTGACTTTGCACTTAGCAGTGGCACACCATTCCCGTAAAATTTCACATCGGGATTTAAAGGGATGCGCAATGCCTTCTGAATCCGTGCCTGGCCTCATTTGGTTTTCACCAGAAGCCCGCCATGCTCATGGTCCAAACAGGACCACTCGACCCACAGCAGCCAGCTGTTGCATATTGGCGTGGAAACCCAAAAGCCGACGCCACAAATCTACCAAAGTGTGGACCCAACCCTCTGCCAAGGAATCTTCCATACACGACTTACAGCACACAAGCTACAGAGGACTCAAATGGGAAGGAGTGCAGCCCAGCTACTACTGCCTCAACCTTGGAAAGCCAGGCCTAGGTGTTGAGGTGCTGGGGGGTTTAGCTTCATCCACGAACTCAGTGAACCCAATGAACTCAGTGAACTCAGTGACCTCACTCTACCAACAGCTTGGCTGTGTGATGGTCCTGGCGACCTCGGCCTCCACCTGCACCTCCGTCGCGGTTGCATTCGGGTCGGTTCGAGGGCTTTGCTACGCTTATGAAGCTTGCACTTTCAACTGTTGGCCTCACCGTGTTTTTTGGGAAGTTTTGGCATTTTGGGGGGCTGGTGCACATCCTGACCAATGCGGGCACTTGAGACTGCGGCGACGAAAGCCGGACATGCACCGGTGCTTTTGCACAACAAGCAAGCTGTTGGCTGCGTTCCAACAAGCAACAATGGCCTTTCTCTTTGTTTCATTTTTGTTGCATGTTTTTTGGGGAGAGGGGGGGTCCCAAAAATCAACTACAATAAGCCTTCACCGTGGGGGGGGGGGGGTTGAAGATTGGGATAAGATTGGGGGGTGGTGGCCCGTTACAATAACTAGCTGATGTTCATACCACTTAATGCCGCGGTCGCCTTTTGACCCACCTGAAACACTTGAGTGAGAGAGAGAGAGAGAAAAAAAAAATAATAATAACATAGAATTAGAACGATTGGTAAACGACAACTCCCGCACGCTCCAAGGAGCCAGCTTTCGTGATTGCATAAAACCGCTGTTTATTTGTGGCAGGTGGGAGAAGTACTTCAGGTGGTGATCATCCTACCCCATCCTATGATTGAACACGGTCTCGGACTGCTTCTTCGCAGCAACTCCCAAACCCACATCATGTGATTCAGAGCCCGAAGTCCGCATGTGGTGCAAAGCGCTATCTTTGAAATTACCCACACACTCCTCAATCTTGGCAAGCTTAGAGTTCTCAGCGGCGTGTTATGTACAGGTCTAAAAGGGATCAACGGCAGCACTGCAAAGTGAACATTGCATTTCCCGCAAGCAGAGACATTGTTGGGGGGTGGGAGACCCGTTCATCTCATCAGGCTTTTGTGCACACTATTCCGGGTGCCCAGATGCGTCCAGCAAGGTGGCAATTGACTTAGACTGCATGCAAGCACGAACTGGGCTCTGTGTACGTGCAGAAAACAAAAACCCGCATGTCGTGGGACGGAAAGTGATCCAGTGAGCATCAGTGAGCCCATGCCGTTGGCAGTGCCAATTTGGAGCACCGGCAATTGTGACGTCAAGGGCAAAGCGGGCCCCCCACAGCTCCCCGCCACACAAAATGAAACAAAATGAAGCTCGCACGACCCAGCCTTCGCCCCGCAGTTGGGGCATACGGAGTCCTGTGGCAGCATAAATGGTGTTTTGCATAATGTTTTGAGGATTTCGGTCAAGAGTTTGGCCCAGTTTGGGTGTACTGTAGCACCGTATGCTAGAGGGCTTTCTGCGGATCCAGCCCCAAACCGAAATTCCCAGCTGCGCAGCGCTCCTGGAGCCCAGCTGAACAGCGGGGACCTGACGGGCGTTAAGGCGCCGGACGCTTTGAAGTGTGATGTTTTGGTTCAATTTCGAAGGCGGGTTCCGCTGCCCACGCTGGACTGGACATGAAAAGGAGACGAGCCATGATAGGCTTAGGGCTCAGAATCGGCTTTGGTTTCGGAACTTGGAGACTTATAAGGCATGGAAGGCGTCAGGACCGTTCGGACCGTGAGGACCGTTAGGACCGTTAGGACCTTCAAGGACCTTGTAGGACCTGAAAAATCCAAAGCTCATGCCGGGCAATCAACGATCTTTGGGGTTGGACAGGAGATGCTATCCACCATTGCACTTCCGAGGGCTCGGGGCCAAACAGTGTCGCCGCGCGCCCATTCGGCTTGCCTGCGGTGCTGTTGCCGAAGGGTTCTGCAATGCTGTGCGGGCACGACCGAAGAGACACTGCACTAGGGCTTGGGTTCAGGTTTACGGACCAATACGGACCAATCCTTTTTTTGCCAATTCTCCGTGGTTATCGTCGGTCTGAGGTATTCAGATTCTAAAACTGCGGCTGAGGATTTAGCGTCTTGCTTCATCGTGATTTGAACGCTGAGCACCGAAGGCTCAAGGTTCTTCTGAGCTCAACCAAGCTTCCAAGCCTGTCGCAGCAATCAAGCTCTTGGCGGACAACAGCATTAGTTTCCCGGCATATCCCATCTCTCAATCACGGCGGTGATTGAGCCCCACTCTCAGAAAACTCAAGAAACACGCTAAACTGCCGTTAAAGCGAGCCTTTGGCCGCTGGGGCGCAGCGTTCTCCTTACTGGAAGCCGGGTTCTGGGGATACTTCGGAGCTTCTTCCTGGCCCTCGCACTTCAGGGCTGAGGGTACGGCTTTCCGAGCCCACAAAACGAAACGTTCAAACGCATACTTCGATTCCTACACGGAAGTAAGACACACCGGCTTTCGGCATGCCAAATACAACGGTTTGCCCCTTGCCTACCGTGCCCCGTCCGAATCCCAAGCGCAATCTCACCATGCAATTCACCATGATGACCGAATACCTTGTCTCTACAGTTCACTGCTAGGTGGGCGCTTGAATTGGCAGCGAGGGAGGTGCCTGGGCGCCTGGCATTTACAGGCGGCTTCCGCAGGAACAGCGGACTGCACTTGGGGTCCTGGCTTGGGCGGTCAGGAAACTTTTTGTGCTTGGACTTCGAGTAGAAACTACACCGCACGGTTTCTGCAGAATCGTTGGGCCTTTTTTTTTGGATTTCGAGCTGAGATGGGAAGGATTTAGTGACTTAGGGTTTAGGGGCACAAGCAGACTGTGGGAGCTTCCTGCACCTTCGCAATCATTCGAAGCTCTAAAAACCCAAGCCACCCGACCCCAAAAGCCCTTGAAAGTCCCACCCTCGTGTCTGGCAGGCTTTAGAGTGGCTGGCATTTGGGGGCATAAAGACCAGGTCGTTAAGAGGCCTCGAGGCTCAAAGGTACCCAAGACATAGGGTTGTGAGTGTGCAGGTCTGCCAAGTCTGCTGCGCCTCCGGTGAATACAATGCAATAAGGCCCAAGCTAGGTGCACGTAAGGGCAACATTTGTGCGACTGTTTGATCCTGTCCTAAACCATTTGTTGAAGAGCTCGTCTGGACAAGTGACGCATTGGATTCCGAACAACAGGATGCCAGGCAGAAGACGTTGTGGCGTTCATTCTGGAATGGAAGATGAGGAAGATGAAGTTAAAATACCATTCCAGTTTATCATTGATAATACAGCGAATACTGATAGATCAATGTTATATGCTTGGGGTCAGAATTATAAGTCAGAAGGTCACAGTTGTGAGGTCGAAGTAAGAACCACCCGAAGGGCCCTGAGCCCAAAGAGGCCTGGCTCTCGTTTGAGCCAGGCTTGAAGCGCTCGTAGAGCTCCGAGAATCCTCGGGTCTCAACTTCAGGGTCTTCATGCCCCCAGCGGGTCTATGGGGAGCTCTGGAGTATGCGGCTCATGGCTGCTAGCCCACAAGGATGCATATCCCCTCAAAATAAAGGTTGGAAAGTCTGGCCCCTCAACCCCGTAGGGCCTACCATGGCCTACCCCTCTCGCAGCTCTCCGCAGGCACCTTGTATTGGAGAGGCGTGGACGTACAAGGCCCTGCCTTGGCAAGGGGCAGAGCTTTTGAGGCTTTTCTGACATGCCCAATGTTGCCAAATCTAGGGCACCAAAACACAGAAGGGCCCTTTTCAGGCTTCAAGGGGCCACAGGACCTGAGAAAGGAATTCTCCTTTCGCTCCAGCCAGGCCCTGCCTTGAACCGGAGCCACTCGGAGAAAGGTGTCATTGAACTCCTCCCACAACCAAGGAAGCAAAAAATAGAATAACAACAATAATAATAATAGAGGCTTCAGGGGCAAGACTCCAGCTGGCAGCTAGATCTTGCGCCTTGGGTTTACGGGACTTCGATGAACGCTGAACCAGGAAGCCACGAAACTCCAGCCAGTCCCGGTAGAAGTCTCGGGCGACGCTCGGACGCAGGAAGCTGATTAGCCCGTAACCTGGTGCAACCGCTGCGA